TGTAAGATTTCCTTTAAAAAAGCCTCTAGCGAACGGTTGTTACGGAGCTTACAAAAAAAACCTAAAGTTTAACTTATTTATAGTCCTATCGAAAAAACTTGATATTTCACCAGAACATTGCAATAGAGTGTATTTATAGTTCTTTGGAAAAAAAATTAGCTGCATTTATTTCATCCACATCATATTTAAAATGGGGCTCAATATGGCACCAAAAGTTATCACGTAAATGACTGACAGAACGGGATATTTTTCGCGGCATCTTTCGATTTTAGGAATACATCCACAATTAATGTAATAGAGTACTTTGTTATATGAACACAATTTTTAGATATTTCAAGTGGTAAATTTTATGAAATTTTTATCACTTAAGCATCAAACAAAGTATCGACCGCCATCTGGAACTCAACCTCAAATATTTCAATGTCGCAGATCCGAAATTAGTCAGTATTCAGTATTTAAGCAGAACTCAGATGACACCTTTAGACCTTTTGAACCCAAAGTGCGTCAATATGTAGCAATTTCTGGATTGTGCGTTGGACCCCAAAGTGCGATGCGAAGTTTAACGCACTTTGGGGTCGGACCCAAAAGTGCGTTTGACCCCAAAGTGCGGTGTTACAAAGCTGAAATCGAGTTTTCATGAAGTTGAAATGTCCCCACCGGTCTTTCGTAATGTTACTGGCGAGATAAATGACGATAAAGTCAGTTAAAAAAAACCTGGTCACATGACTGATTAGCTGCCGATAGGGGGGGGGGATACATGTTTTACAAAACAACAAAAACGCAAAGATTGTAATTCCAAAAAGCTTCATATTACAGCATGTGTAATCAAGTTAAACATATGGGCCTAGTAGCATTTTATGCAAGTATTGCGCTCCGATAAACAGCCTCCGAATTCGAGCAGATTCGAGTAAATACGTAAATACATAGGCTGCATTAATCTTTGAATAAATCGAAAGCAAAAGGGCAGACGTGTGGTAAGTTAAAACTGATGGTGTCAAAAGATAGTTATGTTGAAGATGATATTGACACAATAATAATTTTAGAAATCGGGCGAAGCAGTTTAGAAACGGCGTTATTGCGTGATATTTCTAGTTTTTATTATTATTACTCCCCTACCAGTTTAACCGGAGGGGACTTTAGGTTTCAATGCATGTGTCCCTTCTTTCTTATAAGCAGTATGTGCATTTGAAATAAAATAGTCTGCTCGATTCCGAAACCAATTTTCGGGCTCATCATCGTCCCAACGGGTTAATTTTGATTTTTTGACGGATTTTCAGTGTTTTTCAGTATTTTTATCATCACCAACAAAACGTTCTCATTTATAAACTTAAGACACCCAAACTTTTACACAATTAATGTTGTAGTTGGGGTTATGAACCACTTTTAGGTTTATCTGTAGTTATCACAACATTTTTTGTTTGTGAAACAAAGGCTGGTATATAGAGTGTTTTACATTTTTTTCTTTTGCATCATAGCTGTTTGCATTAAATTAAAGATAAAGCGTTCAAAAGTTGTTTGTTGATTTTATGCTATCCACTACCCATCTATTCCTATTCGTTATATTTATGCCCCCATTCCCCTTCAAAGCGATGGTGGTATATTGCTTTGCCAATGTATGTCTGTCGGTCAATAGACCAAATTGTTTCCGATCAATAACTTTCCGATCAATAACTAAAGAACGCTTAGGCCTAGGTACTTCCAACTTAAAATGGTGATTGTTCATGACCAGTAGATGAACCCTATTGATTTTGACGTCAATGGATCAAATGTTAAGGTCACATTGACCTTGTGGGTAAAAACGGTTTCCGATCAATAAGTTAAGAACGCTTAGGCCTAGGAACTTCAAACTTGGTACAATGATTGATCATAACCAGTAGATGACCACTATTGATTTTTGGCTAAAGGGTTTAAATGTCAAGGTAACATTGACCTTTTAGGTAAAAACGGTTTCAGATCAGTAACTAAAGGACGCTCAGGCCTAGGATCTTTAAACTTGGTATGATGCTTGTTAATGACCAATAGATGACCCCTTTTGATTTTGGGGTCAAGGGATCAAAAGTTAAGGTCACATTGTTGGTAAAAACCGTTTCCGAACAATAACTAATGAACGCTTAGGCCTAAAAACTTCAAACTTGGTATGATGATTTTTCATCCATATTGATTTTCGGTTCAAGGGTCAAAGATCAAGGTCACATTGAATTCGATATGGTGTTTGTTCATGGCCAGTATATGACCCCTATTTATTTTGGGGTCAAGGGGTTAAAAGTCAAGGTCACATTGACCTTATAGGTAAAAACAATTTCCGACAAATAACTAAAAAATGCTTAGGCCTAGGAACTTCATTCTTGGTATGTTGATTGTTCAAGACCATTATATGATCCATATCGATTTTGGGGACAAGGGTTAAAGGTCAAGGTCACATTGACCTTGTAAGTAAAAACGGTTTCCGATCAATAACGTAAAAACGCTTAGGCATAAGTACTTCAAACTTGGTATGATGTTTGATGACCCCTATTTATTTTGGTGTCAATGGGTTAAAGGTCAGTGTCACATTGACCTTGTAGGTCAAACGGTTTTCGACCAATAACTCAAGAACTGAAGTTGCCTTTGTTGATTTTTTTTTATAAAACTAAAAATGTTTTTGGTATTTACATTTCAAGTTCTAATGTAATATAACAAAATGGCTGTCATTAAAGAGGCCTACATAATTCATAAAATTTATGCATATATTATTTGGTAAGATTTGTGATAACTTTGTCATAAATTTGCTACACACAACCTTATCGGTCACAATTGACTAGTGACTAATCATGACCAGAAGATAACCTTTATTGATTTTTTTGTCAAAAGCCAGTCATAATAAACTGACCACATGACTAATTGGCTGCCGAGAGAGGGCATACATGTTTTACAAACATATCTTGTTCTTACATGATTCTTAAATAATAATGCCAATATTGCATGTTTACAAAATGTTGTTTTTTCTCTCAGCTAGAAACAATAATTGTTATTGCTTTGCAAGCATTGAAAACATTTATATCTGAATCGAAAACTTAAAAATAACATGTGCAGTCTAACCAATTTTACTTCGATCGAGTATCTTTTTTAAAGATACATTTCTTTTCTTCATATTTTAACTTTAATGGCAGGCTTTAGTACTAATTCAAAAGTATGCATCGTTTGGTTTTGTACAGATCACGTCAGGTCACTTCACGATCGAGTACTCTATAATTGTTGGCGACATTAATGACTTACGTTATTTTCATTTGCTGACTACTTTAATCACATGCTATGGGCTACATAATTTCTGCACATTATATGCTATGGGCTACATAATTTCTGTACATTATATGCTATGGGCTACATAATTTCTGCACATTATATGCTATTGGCTACATAATTTCTGCACATTATTTGCTATGGGCTACATAATTTCTGCACATTATATGCTATGGGCTACATAATTTCTGCACATTATATGCTATGGGGTACATAATTTCTGCACATTATATGCTATGGGGTACATAATTTCTGCACATTATATATTCTATTGTGACGTATGCTAAAATATAGATTTATTTTATTAACAGCTTCTCCTATAAAGGCAGCCTTCATTTCTGGGGTTGTAGTGGGTTTCGTTGCTGGCTGCCTAGGGATGGCTTGCAAAGATAAATTGTGGGATACACCATCAGGTACTGTCTTTTCATTTTTTCTTCTTCACATTTTGGACTCTTTTAAACTGTTAACTAAGCAGGCAGGTTCTGCTATTGATGAAAGAATTATTTCCAGAACACGGTACCATAATTGTCTATAGGGATTTACATGCAAACATATAATAGAAGAAATACTATCTACAAGGGGCTTTAGGAAAAGCTTTTGTCATTCAATGTATGTAATATTTTTTATGGAATGGAGAAAGAATTTTTTTTTTCTAGTCTGTGAATTTAATGATATTAGATAAGATAAGATAAGTTTATTTTTAGCATTGAATATATAATTTGATGATTTTGAAATTCTAAATATAAAATATCCTAATCTAAAATCATTAAATATATATTCAATTCTACAAATACAATATCATATCTAAAACCATTCAATTCACAACGCTGTGAAGTGGAACGCCTCAAATAAATTTACATTGTAAATAATAATTGTTATAAACAAGCTACCGAAAAAGTTCCTTGGGTCTTGTAGCAAATACTAGTAGTCTTGATAGTTGGTTGTTCAGATATAAAGTGAATTATTTCTCAAGATTATTTTTTTAAGAAAGTTTTACAAACTCAGCATCCTATAACAATAGTAAAAATAACCTTTAGTTTGTTAAACTATATTTTCATAACAGGAAATTGTTGAAAACTGTGGTTGTTTCACAGTACCCGTCAACTTTTTGCTTTGGCACTTATAGTGGATTATTTGTACTTAACTTTAATTTATTTCCGAAGATTATCTTAAAAGCATATTATGTGCCAGAAAAAATATTTCTTTAGAAAGGGCAAATTTGAGTAGATAATGGTTTAAGAGCATGTTAGATGCTATTCACCAGAGGAAAGTATTGATGACTTCGAAATTATTCGTCACAAAAGTAGCAACATGTAAACAAAGTACTTTTTTGACTTCCAGAAAAAAATACATTATCACTTTTACTAATTGCCAAAAAGCAATATTTGCAAACTTTGCTCAGCCAAATGCTAAATAAATAATGTTTTCGAACAAAAAAAAAGAAAGCTTCTTATAAATAAAGATGTATGCATTTTTCAGGCTTAAGGGGCCTTTTATGTAGTTGCATGCATATTTTTGTTGTATTCTTGGAATCCATATTCCCAGGGCATTAAAATGGGATAAGAAATTTAAAAAAAAAGTTTCCGATCAAGAAAGTGAAAAATTATTTTACCCATTCTGGACCTACTCTAAATAACACTTGGAAACAATGACATTTCGGTAAACAAAAAGTGTTCTTGGAAACTGGAACCTGCGTGTTAATGATGTAGAATAATTTTTAATTCATAATTTCTTACTGTTTCAGCGCTGAAAAGGAATCAGAATAAAAGCCCGGCAATACCTAGTCAGCCGCTACACGACACATTCGAAGTGGTAAACTTTAAATATACTACCCAACTTTTCCGCAATAGTTTGATTACCGTCGTAAAGATAATTTTAATGTCAGTTTCAAGTTTAATGAATTTGATTGAACGACAAATTTACTAATTTTGCATTAGTTATATGTAAGAGAAGTGGAAGACTCACTACATCCTACATTTCTGGACACGCAACTTGTTTTCCAAATTTTACAATATCATTTATGTTTACAAGTGACGTGTGTGTGTGGCCAAATGGTAACGACAACTGTTTAGCAACGCCTTCTTCTCATGCTCCCTATAAAGTTTCTAATAGTAGTAGCGAGTAGCGGGGATGGAGATCTATTCTTACACCAAACAGTGCGTCAAGCTCCTGGATGTTTCTAGGTTTCACCTCATGAGCTGTCATCCTTACTTTCATATTATTCTACATCACACCGTATTACCGGCGGCAGTGATGGCAGATATCTGAAAATTACCGATCGGTACAGGTAGGTTATAAATTTGGTTGGTTTAATTATATTACACAAATACGGCCCATATCATTGCTATAAAACTATTGTCCATTGAACGGAGATACTGTAAGGTAATTTTGGACTCGTTTTTTCCTGTTTTAAGGCTATTTTTAGCAGGTTAAAAGTGACAGCCTCGGAAAAATCCGTGAAATTGTCTGTTTTCTGTTCAAAATATCTCAAGTTTTAAGTAAATGGCAGGATTTCCTGTTATCAATATAGACGTTCATCCATTGGGGTCCCGCAAGCCAAAATTTAATATCTACCCCGTGAGTCTTTTCTTGAAAGTTTTACAGACGCTCAATCTTGACCGGTCGAAGAAAAATTGCTGCCGTTGTATGCAGATACATATTATAAATGCTGCCGTCGATGGCAGAAATACAATGAAAGTGGCTAACATTCTGACAGAAAATCAAGATCAATCTTTTATCAATTCCTCTTTTCTTTGCGTCCTTTTAGTCGGCATTGAGACGATAAACTATCATTTCTAATATTTTCTCAAGATAGAAAAGTTATTAATGCGGTATGTGCATCGAAAAAAGCTTTTTAGCAACACGCAGTTACAATACAAAAAATGATGATTTAGTACGACAAAATTGCACTATAAATAGAGAAATGAACATGAAAAACTTCATTTTTCTATATTCATACATGTGTGCTTGATCTGTTGTGTCTGTCAGTTACATGCATACAATACTATATGTATCTTAAGTTTAGCAGCGCACTCCCTTTTTAAGACATAAGCCAATTGCATATTACAGCAAGTAACTTTTGTAAGTGAATATTCATTTGCTAGCATATGACATTATTTTCTCGAGGTAATAATGTTCATCGCTTCATGACAAATAAAGGCTGAAATTTACTTAATTGGCGAAGATTATAAGTTATTAAATAGATGTAATAAAGGGGAGACTATTAACCTCGCAACTGGCATCAGTGTATCATAAAACAATATATGTTAATGTAAATTGGAAGGTTAATATTACTGACAGTTCAAATATTTTCCTATATTATCAAGTTCTTGAAAAACAACGTGGATTCACTTCTTTAACTTTTCATGTTTGTAATAGCGTTGCAGTTTGCCTTTGAATTACATTTACTGTGCTAAACTAGTCAAGATTGAGCGTCTGTAAAACTTTCAAGAAAAGACTCACGGCGTAGATGGCTTGCGGGACCCCAATTGATGAACGTCTATATTGATAACGGAAATCCTGCCATTTACTTAAAACTTTAGATATTTTGAACAGAAAACAGACAATTTCACGGATTTTTCCGAGGCTGTCACTTTTAACCTGCTCAAAATAGTCTTAAAACAGGAAAAAACGAGTCCAAAATTACCTTACAGTATCTCCGTTCAATGGACAATAGTTTTATAGCAATGATATGGGCCGTATTTGTGTAATATAATAAAACCAACCAAATTTATAACCTACCTGTACCGATCGGTAATTTTCAGATATCTGCCATCACTGCAGTGATCTACCATCACTGCCGCCGGAAATACGGTGTGCACATGTGCTCATTAAGCTTTGGATAATCTACCTGACCAGTTAAGGCGCTCAAAACCCTTCCTATCCATGTAGTTCTGGTCAAACCGGGTCCTGTAGGGCGCGCTTTTTTTGTCCAGTTCGAAGATTTGATATTATCACAATTACTGTTATAAGGTATACACATTCGTGTCCGGACTGTTACTTTGTCATGCATTAAAAGGATTTTAAAATAACTTGGCACAAATATATACCACATCAAGACGATGTATCGTGTTAAAGAATCATGCCCCTTCTTCAAAGGTCAAGATAAGGTCACACAGTTTGGAGTTATAAGGTATACCTGTACATATTTGTGCCCGGACTGTAACAGAGTTTGAAATGATTTGGCACAAATGTCAGCCACATCAAGGCGATGTTTTGCGTTGAAGATTCGTGTCTCTACCTTAAAGGTCAAGGTCACACCTGCAGTTTGAAGGTTCACATTATCAAAATTAGAGATTTAAAGGATCCATATTTGTGTCTTTGTAGCGCATTGGTGAATTTCAAAATAGCTTGTCATAAATGTTCACTACATCAAGACGATGTGACCAAGATCCATGTTTCTAACTCCAAGGTTTACACTGTCCCATTAAGGCATATTGTCGCGTCTATGACTTATGTACATCCAAGGTCAAGGTGGTAAGTTTGCTATGATTAGCACTTCATTTACCAGAACATTATTTAGCATTTAAATAGGATAAAATTCGTTTCCTCAATTTATTTCAATAACCTTGTTACTAGTATGCACTAGTATAGTGCTAGTAAAAGTTTTAATATCGGCTTCTCTGAAACAACATGTCCTAGCGCTTATCATTGTCTAGTGGATTTCTACAAAAGATCGTTGCCCCGGGTCCAAACGGCTTGTCCTGTGTCAATTTCCTTACAACGAATTATATATAATAATATACACGAGGGCCCAGAGGCCCTTGGTAGCTCACTTGAGAAATAGGTCAAAAAGGTCCAAAGTGGAGTCCTTTTCAATCCCAGAAGAATAGCAAAATTAAAACATCGGGAAAATACTGGATTTACAGTACATATATGAACTAGAAATGTGTCATCATGCCACGGATGCCCCCGCATGCAGCCAAAATTTCAGATGTTTATATATTTTAGTTCTAAATTTGTTTGCATAAATTATATTTTCATTTTTAAGTTCAAGCCCTTAAACTTTTCAATGTTAACACAAAAACCATTTCATACAATGTTCAAGGGCACTGAAATTATTCAGTCTAAACCTTTTGAAAATAGCATATTGCATATTTGTAGCCAAAATAATGGTACATACATTTCCACAAAAATATGAGTGCTGAAACTGAAAAGTTCATCAGGAAAGATAACTTTGTCCAAAATCATTGAACCACGACCAAATTCAAACTTAAAGTGCTTATTCCTAAGATGTATTTATATTATTTTCAAAGTGAAAGGGACATAACTCTGCCAAAAAATCATCGAACCATGACCAAATTCCAACTTGACCTGCCCATTCCTTTGACATATCCATATGTCAAATTTGAGTTGACTATGTAACACTGTTGGGTAGATAATGAACAGAAACTGTAAATTTCATATTATTTTCAAAGTGAAAGGGGCATTACTCTGCCAAAAATCATTGAACCATGACCAAATTCGATCTTGGCCTGGGCATTCCAAAAACATAACCATATGTCAAATTTGAGTTGAATGTGTTGTACCGTTGGGGAGATAATCAATAGAAACTGAACATTTCATATTATTTTCAAAGTAAAAGGGGCATAACTCTGCCAAAAATCATCGAACCATGACCAAATTCGAACTTGACCTGTATTTTCTCTTGACAAATCCATATGTCAAGTTTGAGTTTAATGTGTTGTACCGTTGGTGAGATAATGAACGGAAACTGAAAATTTCATATTATTTTAAAGTAAATGGGCATAACTCTGCCAAATATTATTGAACTATGACCAAATTCAAACCTGGCCTGTATTTTTTCATGATATATCCATATGTCAAATTTGAGTTGAATGTATGCAACCGTTACTAAGATAATGAACGGAAACTGATGAAGACGGAATGACAGAATGACTGAAGGACGGAAGGACGGAACAGGGTAACACTATATGCCCCGGCCATTACATGGCGGGGGCATAAAAATCAATTACCCCCTGAGACAGGGTCAATTTTAATCCTAGGGGTTTTCTTGTGTCCACACTATAGGGGTTGGATTTAGATTTACCCTTGTCCGTCCGTCCATCCGTCCGTTCTCTTTTCGTGTCGCATATAGCTCAAAGTGTATTTGACCTAGAGTCATGAAACTTTACAGGAATGTGGCTCAGCATGTGTAGTTGTGCACCTGGGTATTTTTCGTTTGGATGTTTATAGTACTTGTAGAGTAAATGGCATAATTGCCCTTGACATACTAAAAGCTTGCAATTTTCAACTTGTGTCGCATGTAGCTCAAAACCTATTTGACCTACAGTCATTAAACTTTACAGAAATGTTTATCAGCATGTGTAGTTTTGAACCTTGGTATTTTCGTGTTGATTTATTTAGTATCTGTAGATTTATGGCCCTTGACTTAGTATATTTTCAACTTTTGTCGCAAATAGCTCAAAAGGTATTTGACCTAGAGTCATGAAACTTTACAGGACTGTTGCTCAGGTAAGTTGTACACCTTGGGTTTTGCTTGTGGATTTTTTTTTTCAGAGTTACTGCCCTTGAATTAGTAAGAGATAATTATTTTTACAATTTTGCCACATGTAGCCCAAAAATATTTGACCTAGAGACATAAGATTGAAAAAACGTTGGAATGTTTGGACACCTGTGACCTATGGACACATTTCTAGTTTCAGCAAACTTGGTAGACATACATTAGAAAAATATTTCAGCTCTACCTCTTTTTGATACTCGCAAGAAGATGTTTTAAGTTTTTACTGCGTATATATAAGGGAAATTTAATAACCCCTGGGCGGGGCCAATTTTGACTCTACGGATTTTATTTGAACAAACTTGGTAGACGTTCACTAGAACATATTTCATGCCAAATATCTAAGCTCTAGCTCTTTCGGTTGTTTACAAGAAGATTTTTTGAAAAATCCTTCGGCTGCCATGGCAACCAGAGTACTTTGTGGAATTTAATTCTTAGAACAAATTTGGTAAAGCCTTATGCAAATAACATCCCTGCAAAGTTTCAACAAATTTGGCTTAGTGGTTTATGAGGAGAAGTTGTTTAAAGAAATTGTTTACGCACGGACGGAAGATGGACGACGGACAATGGGCCATCACAAAAGACCACCTTGAGGACATTGTCCTCAGGTCTGCTATAACACATCTCCTCCTTACTTACAATGTTCTGAGCTTAGATATTTTGCTATAGTATTCCGTTGAAACTCAGAAAAAACGCATATCTTGTTTAAATTTACATGTCCAAGAGCTTATATATTTGCAGTGAAGCTTTGCTAAGTGGATCTATGCTAAAATCAGTGAATTGTCAAAAATGAATTTCAGATTTATCAAAAAAAGTCTTTTGTTTTCAAAAGAGTCTTAAATATAAAGATCATGGAATGTTTGAAAGAAAAGATGCAAATGTTGAAAGACAATGTCAACTCATTAAAATGAGAATGAATATGTTTCAATGTATCAGTTTATGTATTCAAAACTGTTACACATGTATTTAAAACATACACTAATCTATTTAAATCTATACTTACAACATTCCTTTCAGAATAAAAACGAAATACTCCAACTCCTGACAAACATTTTTACAAATGGCAACTGTCGTTTTAATCGTCTCAGGCAATATGTAGGGTGCACTGAAGAAATCGCCGAAAATAACATTGAAGGTCTGATGATCAATGTTTCCAGGTACCTGATGACAGATTACAAACCAGAATTGTAAGATACACTATATAACATAACTTGTTTACCGACAAGGATCTATAACATTGTCTTAATAAACATGTGTATATATTATCTTGCTATTTAATTGTAACGTGGGCTTTTCCTTTTTGATAATACCCCATTCATGATGCAATCTTAATATCAAATTGATTACATGTATGTGTAAAACGGCTAGTATAGAACATTTTTAGAAGTGCACGGCCACGTTTTAATAAACATTTCTGACCATGTTATATAACTAGTATGCTTGAATGCACATTGTCAACTCTGTATTTAATTTAACTGTATCTACTTCATTGTATTTCAGACCTTACAAGACTATAACTAGACATGTAATATAACTAGTAAATCGACACGATACACAAACCTAGCAATATAAGTTTAACAATCACCAAACAATCCATAATTTTTTTTTGCTACGCAGTCAATCCTTTAATAATTTCATCTAAATATTCATATTCATGTAAACTATAAAATCAACAGAAAATCCACAGAAGTTTTTTTCTCAATATCGGTAATTGTGGTTTAGTATTATCTACGTTACTTTGGAAATCATTTCATTCAGAGTGACTTTATAATTAGGATAGATGTAAACAAGTACATCTTTCTCCTTAGCCTTTGATTAAGAGGATATAATCTATTAAGATTTTAATATTGAAATCACTTGAAATTTGTATGGATTGTTTAAAATTCAAAGCTTGACTTCATTCATTTCTCAAATACAGTAGGTTAAGGATAAAAGAATAACTATACTTCTTTTTTTCTTTTGATTTCCAGTGGCTTCGCTAATTTCTTTGCAAAGGTAGTCAAGTTTATCCAGACTGAACAAGATATTGAACAAGCCACGCGTATGGAATTAGAAAAGAAAACAAATGGTGAGAAGGGACGGCATTTTCCGATCTCTTTTTTGTATGTTTTTGATTGGAAATGATTAACTCTGTCCTCTTACTACTTAGAATGTGATCACTTTTTGCATAAAATGTTTCAATATTGTTTTCAGTAGTTTCTGATTTTGCTTTTTTCATTAGTTCATATAATTTGGTGCGAGGTTAAATTAACGTTAAATTGGACGGTAGCATATCAACAAAAACTGGCGTATCGGAGGCCGTGTATTATATCCTGACTTTTGAGCTCAAATTTAAGAAAATCGTAACAAAGTAGTGACACTGTTAAAAGGAAGACCAAATGCGTATTAATATACCTGTATTATCTCTATCAAATTGGAAGTTTTCCCTCAGAGTTTAATGAGAAGTGAGACAAAAGCAGGTTTGGAAATATAATTTTCACATTGAATGCACATTGCCAGCTCTGTATGTAATTTAAATATATCTACTTCGTTGTATTTCAGTCCTTACAAGGCTATGCTTTGACGCTGATATTTTAATCATAAACACAGACGACGATAATGAGTATGCAACTAGGATAAAAGAGGAAGCAAAAGGATGGAATATATCAGTTCATATAGAATCCGAAGTTGCAATTGGAAGGCCTATTTTCTCAAGTATAGGGGATGCCTTAAACCGATACCTGTTCGTGTTTGTCATTGTAACTGAGAGTCTGACAGGTGATAAAGTTCAAAGATTCGCAAGTCAAGGGCACTTGCATCAATCTGTGTTAGATAACAAGGACCGATTTATTCCTGTCAAAATTATTGGTCAAGAGCATGTCGATTCTGTTTTTGGAATTTTATTTCCATGGACCTACGGTACTAAGAGATCAGGGGAGAATTTGAATAGTCTTGTACAGAGAGCCAATGGAATCGTTTTCAATTAACAAACGAGCAATAAATTTGTACATGTTCGTATTATAAAAACCGACGTATATGTATTGTGTTGGGTTACATTGAATTCATGAACATTCTGTTTAAAATGACGATCTTTATCAAAGGAACTCTTGAAATGTTTAAAAGAACTGTAGCATGTTTTTTCTACTGCTATCTAGGAACTGGCTTAATTGAACAGAGTCTACAATATTTCCAATTCTGCCGTGTAGAAGACAACCATCAGCATTTAAACTTTCATTATCTTTAATTTTTGTCAAAATAAAAATGGTTTATATATAAAGTAGAGGAATTATATATTCACATATTCCATTTTGTCTAATATATCAATTGATTTCACAGGGATCTATCATTGATATGAACCAATTTTCAGACAAATGTAAATCATTATGATATTGTATTTTTCTTATGATTGGTTTTCTTATTTTAGAATCTTATATATGAGTCAGACGATGTGTCATATTAAAAACTGCAGTCTGCCTAAACTATTTAATAACCAATGTGTCCGTGAATAATGAGCATTTTCTTGCTGCGAAGTCCTACAGTTTTGCAGGGATTACAGAAAATCAAGTAGTAACCTAATATGTTTAAACTACCCGACAACACCTGATTTACATATATTTCTATAAAACAATAAGCCCTGCCAATGAATAAAACAACTTTCGTTTGAACATTATTCTAGATGAATCAATCAGTCCATTGACTCGGACACATTTCTGACATAATAATGTTTATTCTCAAACTGGAAATTACATTCGTCTCAAGTCTCAATCAAACTGAGTCTGCAATTTTCATTTAATTTTGCTTCCGATGGATCACTTTTTTCCAGATATTGAGTGACGTCATAAATCATAACTGTATTTATATCACAAGCTTATAATAAATATTTACTGATTAATTTCAGCGTACAAAAATCATATAAAAGCCTATCAGTATATTATTATAACAAAGATGACCATGCTTTTGTTGCGACCGTGTAACTATAAAACAAGATGATTTCTATGTTCTAAATGCGACAATTTCACGCGGGCCTCTTGCTGTCATTTACCTTGCGTTTGGGTTTTGAGTCTTATATTGTGGTCTGAAAAACGATCATGACACGTGGCCTTCTATTACGCACAATAAATTCTCCAAATTAATACAAAAACAGACTCAGAGATAAAGTGTTTAAAAGATGACAAGAGAATATGTTTTTAACGAACATTTATGGAACAAATCAGACACCTGTCCAAAACGCGACCATATTTCGCGGGCCTCTTCCTTTCTTGGTTTTGAGTCGTCTTATATTGCTTAAAAGAAGTCAATCTTAGATAATTACAAATACGATATACTGGATCATTAATAAGATTTTATACGTAGCGTTTATTTTACCATGGCTAACGTGAATAACGTCAATTTTGCTTGGGTTAGGGCAACGAAAACTCTCCAGAAGAAAACTAATACAAAAACAAACGAATCTGCAACTAAATCAGACAAAGGATGTTTTAACGCTTGGCTCGAGAAAAAGGAGTGTTTAAAAAAATTCTAGTATACATTTCATATACAGAAATAAAGACAAATCGCTGGTCTGAAAAAAGACCATGACACTATGAAATATCTCGGAGGTGTTGCCTGGGTTAAGAGATTGGGCCTTATATTGCGCAAAGAAGACCCTCCAATACAAAAACGAACCCGCGATGAAATCATAGGGTTTTAAACGGTTGACTCGAGAAAATTGTGGGTTTTTGACGTTTTGCTTTGATTATGGCTTTGGGCGTTATATTGTGCAAACAAGACCCTTCATTCTAACACAAAAACGAATTCAAAGCGGACTCAGACAAAGGGTGTTGACTCGTGTAAATAGTATTTTACGAAATTTTATACATTTTACATACAGAAAAAGAAAATTGCTTTTCTGAAAAACGACCATGCCACGCGGAATTCTCCTGGACGTTTTGCTTTGATAAGGGCTTTGGGCATTATAATGCGCAAAGGAGACCCTCAATATAATAACGCTGATGAATCTGCAACGCAATCACACATAAAGTGTTTGAATGGTTGGCACGAGAATACTGTATGTGTAGAAATATTCGCGGGCTTTAAATTTTCGCGATCTTCGCGGTGACATTCGACCCGCGAATTCTTGTTCAGCGCGAATATTTCTACACCAATAATTTCTTAATAGTCATATTTTCGCGCATCTATAGAACAATGTATATCAGGGTGTTCACGGCTGCCATTAGTCTGGTATCCGTGGCGCTTTCAAAGAGTGATTTTACTTTTGTATAAACTGTGCATGTACATGTAACATTCAGCTCTGAATATAAATCCGTTTGCTACAGTATTATTATTTGACTGATATGATTATTAGATTCTTGTGTAAGTATATATAAATGTTTGAACAATACCATTGCACCACGCTATTTATTTCATAGTCTGAGCTATAAACGTCTTGACATCTGATCAGATTATATTTTGTTTTCCTAAACAAACTTTACAAACAACACAAACATTAACGATTTTAACTGATGAAAACATGGAAAACAAAACACTATTACTCAGTCAACATTTTAACAAAATCGGTGAAAAGATTATGGTCTTATTCAGTGCTGTTTAAAACTGTGAAAAATCACGCACGTTAACGGACATTCTTTTGTTTGCCATAATCTGTCCGCAAGACAAATTGAATTGTCTTTGTTCTGTACAATAGTGTATTGTTTGACACCAGGTGTTGAAAATAACTGTGAAGTCCCACAACGATTACAGTAATAAAAAGTATGTAAAATTAAAGAAGGCTGCTTGCGAAAACCATTGCCTAATCTATTAAGAGTAATTTCTCTTATTTTTTTAACCTAATGGGTGTGCGCGAATTTATGATTTTCGGCAGTCACCTCCGCGAATTCAAAATAGCGCGAATATTTGTATATACCCCCAAAGTGGACCTTTCCGCGAAAATTTGCTTCCGCGAATTTAAATACACATACAGTATGGTGTTTTAACGAACATTTTAAACACTTCAAATACAGAAAGAACAAATCAGACACCGTCCAAAAACCGATCATTTTACGCAGGACTCTTGCTGCCAGTTTTCTTGCGTTTGAGTTTTGATTCTTATATTGCTGTAAAGAAGACTCTCCAAACAATGAAAATATACTTGATCATTAATTTAACATGTTTTAAATTCGTAACGTTCATTTTACCAAGGCCAATTATGCATGACGTCAATTCCTGCTTGGGTTATGGCTTTGGGCATTATGTTGTGCAAAGAAGGTTTCCATACTAATACAAAAACAAAACTGCGAACTCAAAACAGGTGGGTATTTATGAAAATTTGTACATTAAATGCACAGAATGAATAAATCGCCGGTCTGAAAAACGAACATGCCATAAAGTTTTTGCATTTTACATTCAGAGAAACAATTCGCCTCTCTAAAAAACGACTATCCCACGCGGCAATCTCCCGGACCTTTTATTTGGAATTTGGCTTCGGGTCTTATCTTTCGCAATGAAGACCCTCCTTATCAATAGAAAACCGAATCCGCAACAGCATCGGAGAAAGGGTGGTAAAATGATGTGGTTTTTTTAAAAGAAAATTTATACATTTTATATACAGAAGAAACAAATCGCCGGTCTGGAAAACGACCTTGCCAAGCGAAAATCTTCAGTACGTTTTAATGGAGTTAGGGCTTCGGGCTTTATATTACGCAAAATAGACAAGCTAAAGTTTTTGAAACGGCTGGCATGAGCATATTATGTTTTTACGAAAATGTTAACATTTTATATACAGACAGAACAAATCAATCTGCGGTCTAAAAACCGACCATGCCGCGAGAAATCTCCCGGACGATTTGCTTGGGATAGAGCTATGGGTATTATATTGCTCAAAGAAGACCCTCAATACTAATATAAAAACGAATCCGGGACGGAGTCAGACAAGATTGTTACAACGTTTGGCTCGAGCTAATGTGAATTTTACGAAAATCTATACATTTCATATACAGAAAAAAACAAATCGCCTGTCTGTGAAACGACCCTACCACGCGGAAATTTCACGGACTTTTTGCTTGGGTTTGCGCATGGAGGACCTGCCATACCAAAAAAATGAATCCGATTTAAATTACCAAGAAGTTGCCAAATATAAATAAAATGTTACGTGTTTTATTCCTTAGCATGCTGATGGTATAATTTAACCACTGTGTAGACCAATACCTGTCGGCACAAACAATAGTAAAATATTTTGCCATTGACAAACATATATGACAGCCAAAAATAATCCAAAAAAAATTTACCCAACTAACTCAATTGTTAAAATTAGTTTGAACTACCAGTTTTTCGAGTTCAAATGTACATGCAATATATAACAATGAAACTTTAAATGTAACCTTTTCAGTTTATTACAGTTGCTAAAATATATACAATGAGCTTACAATGTTTTCAGAATTAAAACGTTTACTCTAGAGTATTTTGAAATGTAATATATTTAACGTTATATGTGGAAGTTACTCGAGTTCAAAGGTACTTTCAATATATAACAATAAAACTTGAAATGTAACCTTTTTAGTTTATAACATTTGCTAAGATCACATACTTTACAGTCTTAATTTAAAATTGAACCTATACCTGCATCAGATAAGTAACAAAGCACTTTTCGTGACAGCGGCATTTGTGAAGTTATACAACCAAACGTTCAACGCTTAAAATGCTTATAAAAATGCAGATAAATTAAAATTGTCTTTTAAAATATCCATACCATTACACGTTTATTAATATCCTTGTTTAAGATTCATCCATTAAAAACTCGATTCTTTTTGTACCCCCACTTTAGTGGCGGGCATTTAGATTTACCCTTGTCTGTCCGTCCGTCGTTCCATCCTTCCGTCCGTCCTTCCGTCCTTCCGTTCTTTTTTGTTTCGCACGTAACTCAAAAAGCATTTGACCTAGAGTCATGAAAATTTACAGGAATGTTGATCAGCATGTGTTGTTGTGCACCTGGGTATTTTCGTCTGGATATTTTTAGTATTTTTAGAGTTATTGCCCTTGACTTAGTAAAATTTTGCAATTTTCACTTTGTGTCGCATGTAACTCAAAAAGTATTTGACCTAGAGT